TCCTAGAGCAAAAATATTTATTTAACATTTTGGAAGTGATCCCTTTAAATTCAGTGGAATTTGCTTCTAAGTAAAGAAGCTTTACTTAATGTACTAAGAAGTACTAAGTACTTGTAGGTAAAGCAGCTTTACTTAGATTTGCAATAACCTTAGATTTGCAGTAAAAATTACACTGCAATCCATTTTTGTTCTTGTCCAAATGAAATAAGTTAGTGTTATTCAGTTCACTGAGGAGCTTCTGAGGAGCTTATTACCTTTGCAGACGTTTTGGCTAAAATATCCTGCAACTCCATTATTTTCTGCACAAGACCATGGAAGTCATTACACGTTGGGCATGCTGAAATTACAAACATTACATTGATCCCATTGCACTTCATTTAAGCCAAAATTGCAATGTTATATATATTTACCAAAGGGTAAAGCTTACTGAACTTAATACAAATAGCATCTCTATAGACATTCATAAGATTGTTCTTTCAATCTATCAACCTTTTGTTGAAGAGCAATACATTTTAAGAAAAATCTCAGGATATAAAAAATTAAACAAGATCCATCACATTGGATGTAATGGCATAAAAACTAGCAGACTTACTGCGATTAAGGTCTGGGCACTGAGAGATAAATCCTTGAGGCATGATAAGTAATTGCACATCTTGCATTATGCCCTGTAGCAAAATGATACGAGAAAGTTTATTTCCTGGCAATATAATATTCCAAAATATTTCTATATAAAACTGTTTGTCATAGAATAGGTATATTTTCCTGCACCCTCCTGTATAAAAAACAGTTTCTATGAAATTATTATCTCTATATTATTTACTGTAGCATTAGAAGGGGATAGCTATGCATGTACATACCGATACATCTATGCATTCAACCGTTTTCCAAGATTTAAAATTAAATGTCAAGGTGTAATTAATGAGGAAGAGACTGCTTGCTGTGAATTCACTATCACTTTTATTTAGTTGCCAAAGGAAAGGTTTCAAGTGACCTTTAAAAGCAATTTGAACATAATTTGCAGTTTAACTGAGTTTTGAGATACTCATTAAAATAAAATATGAGAATATAAGCCACAGCTACAATGGTGAATTGCAACAAGTTAATTTATTTAAGAAGGGTTTAGACAGGAGAATGCATGGTGGACTGTATTCCAAATCATGAAGATCTCCAGCAATTATGCTTCATAAATCTGTTAAGAATAATTGTGCAGAAACAAGTGCAACCAACAGGTCGTTCCTAGTCTGGGATTATTTCTACACATGTGAGAAGAAAATTTGTAGGATTGGGGGGGTGGGGGGGGGGTGGGG